GGGACTCGGCGAGGTGGGTTGACTGAGAGTTGACTTTGACTTTGGCGTTCACTTTGACCAGAAGGGTAAAATGGTCATTTTACCCTAAGAAGGATTATTGGTTTTTGATTAAGTGTTGTTATGGAATTATAGCCGGAGAGTCGCCGGAGCAACAGATAGGGATCCCTCACCCAGTTTTGCAGCATTCAGCCATACGAGGTGAGTTTCCTTCCAGTAGTAACGGGTCTACGGCCACAATGCCGGCCCGTTTAAGTTGTAGAGTATGTCGGGGTGAGCCCGATACCGGGTTTAGCCCGATGCAGTTTATATGTTTCCGGACTTCGGTCCGATGTCGGGGCGGTCTCGAGAAGTAGTTAAGTATGCCTGATGTCTTTGTGATTCATGCATGTATATGTGTTATGTGTTATGTGTTCCGGGCTTCGGTCCGATGTCGGGAAAGCCCGATGTAGTATGTGCGATTATGTTATATGTTATGTGTTCAGTGTTCCGGGGTAAGCCCGATGTATGTTAGTTATTATGCCATGCATTATATGTTCCGGGGCAAGCCCGGTGTGTGCTAATTTATATGATATGATTATATGTTCCGGGCTTCGGTCCGATGTCGGGGCAAGCCCGATGCAGATCATGTGATTATGTTATGTGTTCATGATATATGTTATGCTGTGTATGTGCCGGGGGTAAGCCCGATGTCGGGGCAAGCCCGATGTCGGGGTGAGCCCGATGCCCGATGCGATCGGATGTCGGGGTGAGCCCGATGCCGGGCAGGAGTCCGATGCCGTGTAAGCCGATGTCGGGATTCGTCCCCATGCAGTTGGGAGTAGTCCCAGAGTTATGTTATTTGTTATACGTGATTTGTATGCTATGTGGTAGTTTGGGGGAGCTCACTAAGCTTCGTGCTTACAGTTTCGGTTTTGGTTTCAGGTACTTCAGCTAGCAAAGGGAAAGGGCTCGAGATGATAGCATGGCACACACCACAGTTTTTCTTAGCCTGGGAGTTTACTCTGATATTTTATATATGAGATTGTGATATGATGACAGATCTTATGAGGTTTTTGAGACACATGTTTTATGATTTTCTACTATGGCGATGATATCTATGTTGTTAAATGATTTTGAAAACGAAATTTTTGGGTTGTATTTTTGGGTTGTTTCACTTTCTCTCTTAGATCAATATAGACGATTAGGGTTTCACATAGGGGAGTAAGGTGGCTGGTGAGGTGGAAATGAGGGATTAAGGTCCTTTAAATAGGACCCAACCCCGGAGAATTAGGGTTTCCTCTCACAGCGCCAGCTCGTTGAGTTGGTCCCTCCGACTCGTCGAGTTGGTCGTAAAACCCACGTGTCCAAATTCGTCTCTACTCGACGACTTGGGGCATCCAACTCGTCGAGTTACTCAATCAACTCAAAAAATATATATAAATATTATACCTGGGATTCGGGATGTTACACCATTTATCCACAAATAACCCTTCATTTGGTTATTTTTAACATAATAAATCAGAATCTTCAAACTTTGAATAAAAATAACCATTTTATCCCCTCTTTTGAAATTATTTTTACCAAATTAGTCCCACTTCGGTTAATTAAATTACCAAACAGCCCCCAATAGTTTAAATTTGTTACGAAACGGCCTCGACAGTATTTCAAAGTTTAAGAATGGTGGATTTGCGGTTTCTCATGACAAGTTTCTCAAAATAAACCGAATTCGAACAAATGAAACTCACACTTCGAGGGCGAGTGCTTACGGCCCCTTTTTAATATTTTAATTATTTCGGGGGAGGGGGTGGGGGAATACATGTGCCAAAATATTTTGTTTATACAAACCAATTACTTTTATATGCAAAAATAAAATAAACCTAGTTTATAAAAATATTATTATTAAACAATTTAGCATATTGTTACAAATAAACTAATATAAATTTTTCATATACGTATTATGGTTATTTTATCGTGAGATAACCATTTCACACAACAAATACTACACCATAAAAATTTTATGATTTTTATATAACATTTCATATTATAACAAGTACGTTATGAAACTTTGTAGTATTTCAAAGATTTAAGCTATTATTAAACATGTTTATTTATAGGTTTAAGTACATCACGTTTATACATGTACATATGTTCACTAATTTGAAGCATTCATTTTTTATTAAGGCGAGTACATTACACTTTTACGTATATGTCAAACATCCTCGGCTTTTATAAGCCTTATACAACGATATTCATTATGTCTGGTGACTTAACCACAAGTAAGTTAGGGCTGAGCGTTATGCACAAAATTTTTAGTTAAGGGCTTTTTAGTGAGATGTTATTCATTAGTTGAGTTTAAATACTTAGCATATCCACACTACTGAAATCGTTAATCTTCGGAGCGATATACATATGTATAGATCTATACGGGGTTGACATCCCCACCTGCGGTTGCTAGCTACAACCCTTGACCGATCAATCGAAGCGGGTGATAGGTGTCTACAATTTTTACTAAAACTTCCAATGAAGCGTTGTAGGGGGTACATTCAGTCACATAGCTCGGTTATAGGACTCACTAAAAACATTAACTAGAATATATCTCTCTCTCTCTCTCTCACTACAACCATGGGCTTGGTTGCTTTCAAAACTATTTTGAAGTATGGAATTACTTATGTAACATAACAGTTTGGTTTTCAAGGATATTCAAAGATTTTCTAACACAGTTTAGAGTATGGATTTACTTATACAAAAGATACATTTTGGCTTTCAAGGATTTATTACCAACACAGTTTAAAATATGGATTTACTTATACAGAAATACATTTTGGTCTTTTAAAGACTCATTGCAAACATTGTTTCAACTATTGTTATTCATATAACGAAAATACTTTTTTGAAACGCTTTTAAAAGTATTATTGCTATTAGCAAAAAACCTGTAACACTCACCAACCACGTGTTGACTCTCTAAGCTACATGTATTTTCAGGAAATCACTAAACAGACATTCAAGATGTATTGGATTACAGGTGACCTATTTACTTGTTGTGATATTATATGTCTATCTGTTAAGGCAATTCATATATTATTATTATTATTTGTAAAAATCGTGTATTCAAACATCAAGATGGAACATGAATGTTATATATTGTTTATTGATGTACTTGTGTTATATATTCAGTTTACCTGTGATCCATGAACTTAGCCGCACAGCCCGACGTGTTCCACCGCCTCGACCGGGGGTGTGACAGTTATAAGCCTCAACTGCTAACTCATGGAAGTTAAAGTGATTTATTTAGTTGGACGATCACACACTTTGGATTTTGGAAAAGTTAGTGGATAAATCGGTCATATATATGGTTTAACCATGAGTCAACCGCAATGCAAAATCATGTACAAATATAAAATGATATAATATAATACTTAGAATATTCAGTTACAAATTAATACTTCCAACAAATGATGGACAAAATTTGCACAATTTTTAATCACTTACATAATGTGGTAGTGTGGATTATGAAATAACAAAGAAAAACAAAACATGGCGTATCGATTCCCAATTTGTTTCATTTTTTAAAGTTTCCTAATTAGTTTGTTCTCAATGTTGTCTTACCGGAGAGTGTATTAACGACCGTTTTGCCCAATGTTTTAAAAACCGGTTTTTTAGTTGAACCGGTATGGTCACCGGTTATCGGTTCAACCGGTTCGACCGCCGGGTCAACCGGTTCTATAATTTTCATCTTTTTTTTATTTTCCTACACATACATACATATATAAATAATGAATTTGACGTTAGTAGTTCAAATATTAAAAAAATATACATAAAAATAAGTTGTAGATCAATTCAAATACATTAAAATAACACATAACCTTAAGTTTTAATGTTTTATATCAATCCATATACGTCAAAAAAGAAAATAAAATATATAAAATATAGTTTTAGATGAATACAAACACACCAAAAAACTTTATAACATTTACCATATGTTTTTATTTAGATAAAATAAATAGATTTGAAAAAAAATCACTAAAGTTTATTATGAAAATGGTTCTTTCTCATTTGTTTTTATTCGGTTTAACCGGTTCAACCGGTTTATTTTGACCGGATCAACCGGGTTTTTCTAAAAACCGATCGGTTCAATTCGATTCAAAAATCGACATAAAACCGGTGATAGTTGAACCGTTCTCTCCTCCGGTTCCCGGTCCAACCGGTTCGACCGGCCGGTTTAAACCGGTTTTTAAAATATTGGTTTTGCCTATAGACAATAACTGGAAAAAATCAATACGTTCCATATAATTTATAATATTTTTAGAGGATCAATAACAAATTTTCAGAAATTCTTTTATCGGGAGGAAAACATGAAGCAAGAGAGATTTTTTTGAGAAACTCTTTATCAAATGCATACAAATTATGGTAACCACCTTTTAGTACGTTTAGATGTAGTAAATTATTTGCGCAAAAAATAATCCGTCTTCAAAATTAATTTCTGAAAAAACTATTTATATTCGTCGTTTGGCACGGATAAACGGCTAGTGTGTGTCTATATATATATATATATATATATATATATATATATATATATATATATATATATATATATATATATATATAATATATATATAATACATAACAATTATGGAAGTCGGGTTGAATCGACGGTCAAATCAGAAACCAACGATCGAATCAAAAACCACATCGATTCAACTAAAAATCTGATTTTTAAAAGATTGGTTTTTAATTCTCCTATCCGGATTAGTCTTAATATGTTGATTACCACATTAAAGCCATTGGATATCTACTTAGATAAAAGGACCAAATGAATTCCTATATCCTCACAATATTTATCATATTCCTATAGAATTTTATTTATAATAAGTATTCGCACAATACTTATCATTCTAATATTCCCAATAATTCCTATAAGATCTTCCTATATGGTCTTCTTCTTGTATATATATATATATATATATATATATATTATATATATATATATATATATATATATATATATATATATACTCACAATTCTAAAAACTCCATAAAGACTCCCGCCCACAAAATTCCACGTTATCCCCATACTTGCCATACACCACCGTCTGAGGAGGCGCTATCATCAGTCCCTCCGCCATGCTGGCAAAAAACCCCGGCATGTTGAAAATTTCTTCTTCATCGACGTAAAACTGAATTCCCGGCAAGTCCTTAATCTCCACCACATCCTCCGTGTGTCTGAAAGCCTTGGCCGCTTCTGCAGCGGCTTTTTGTATATCCTGTACGTTGTTAGACTTCGGGACTGGCAGCCGCCACACTGAGTCAGCAAAATTTAAACAAGCCAATCGCCCTCTGAAAGCAAATGCCGCCACGTCATGTGCCCTGGCTGCCATTTCAGCAGTGTGATGGGTCCCTAGCCAGACTCTCGACTTCTTGTTGGGCACTCTTACCTCACAAACCCACTTACCGGAATCCCTCTTCCTCACTCCCCGGTAAACAGGGTGTCGAGTCTCCTTAAACTTCTTTCTTCCATCTCTCTTCTTCGGGGTTAGTGAAGCCAGTTTCATTTTTATTTCAGAAGTGCAATTTGAGGTAAACATGGACGCTAAGGGAACATTTACCAATGACAGTGCATGATATGGGTTATACGATTCGATGTCGGCGTCCATATGTTGGTTATAGTGTTTGCATGTTACGAGTGAAGTGAACTCATGTTGGTAGTTATTGTGCAAGTTATGACTTATTTGTTAAGTTAGGGTTTCTGAGTGACGTCAATTCAAGTGATTGATATGCGTGGTGGGGTTAAAGAGAAATGAGTCGGTTTACGTGGTGGTGGATGGAGTGGGCGCGCTGTGTGCAGTGGCTTTATTTTATTTTATACGCCTGATATTTTGCAGAGTATTAATTATTAATAGTATTGTCCCTATATTATTGCATAATTCACAGCTTTAGTCTCATAGATTCAAATGTTTTAATTGAAGTACAAAATAGTTTAATTTGTGTAACAATCATGTCTAACATTATATGCTGTCTAAGAATTAAATTGAGTGTGTAGTTGTACGAGCGTTTAATAGAATAAATGTGAATATAATATAGAGGAGAGAGTGTGTGGAGTTGAATGGTCATGGAACGGTGCAATGGAATTGTAATGAAAATTTATGATTTTTTTAAGAATTAAATTGAATATGTATATTTTTTTTCCTATTTGGCAATCCATACAACTCTCCATGGGTTTAATCCATTGGAGATGCCCTAAGATTAGTGTTATTGAGGAGGGGTGAAAATCAATACCCCGATTGTCGAGATTTGTTCGAAATGGAAGATGGTCATGCCAAATTCTCCATGTAAGAATGTTAATATATATTTGTTCAAACTTATTCCATCAAGTTTTACTTTCACCAATAACAATAATCTTATGTTCAATAAGACTCCTCACACAAGATATGAAAAAGTACCTTCCGAATTCTGCAACCAAGATTTGTCGACTAAATTGGAATAACCAAAGTGCATCACAACTTTTTCCATCTCCTTAAGCACCATAACTTCAAGCCCAGATCGAAGCAACACTAAACTTTAAACCAAGAACTAAACCACCATCTCGAACTCACTCTGCAATGTTTGTCAAATTCTAGCACATAAAGCCTAGGAAAACAAGACTAAAAGGGGGTACTTAATTCACTCATCAAGCCAAAAATAAGTCAGAAGCCACATTCCTCACCTTCTTTGTCATTAAAGAAGAGATGCCAATACCAGTAACACCTAACCCTTTTATGAACTTGACAATATTCTTCCAAGGACTAGCATAATTAAAGGTTTGACCAGGTATTAAGAATAAAACCGCCATCAATCCCATGAATCGCTTTAATTATTTTTAAGTGAATCACTAATGAAACAATTAAGGTAATCTGGGTATATTGAGCACATATGACGAAAGAAGTTATGAAGGTTTTCTTGAGCTAATTATGGTGTGTATGTTGGGGTTTCTTCTTCTACAATTCTTCTGCCACAAAATTCTCATGTACTACGTACATTAATAAAATGTTTTCAATATGGCTTGACATCTTGAGCTTTAAGAGAAATATACATTATTAATTGGTTTTGTTGTGCGACACATGAAGTTCATGGGCATATGATCAAACACTGTCAATCAGATGATGCATCGCCATTTACATAAATCGTGTGCATTTAATGCGGTTAATTTGGTTATAATAAAAACTGGGTTTTTGTTTTGATTTTGATAAATATTAGATTTTTATGGATTATTGCGTTTTTCAATTTTGTTTGATGTTTAAAAAGCACATTCAAGAACATAACTGAAGTTGAAGATGATATGTATATATAACCAGAAAGTCCATCACATCTTGAGCACGATGACACTTATGAGATTAATTTTGGCGATGTCTAAAGCTGGACATGATTGCTACAATAAAAAGAAAAATACTATTTTGGATTTTATTTGATACAACTGAAACTGTTGGACTAAGTTTGAAATATAAGTAATATTATATGGACTAGAACTGAAGTTTACGATTTTTAACCTTCTTTCAATCATTATAGAATATGTGCATTTGCCTGGTACCTACCATATTTGGCAAATAAAAGCTAAATTTTCGCATGCCATTTATGATATGAATTGCTTTTAGCAACACGTATTTTTTAAGTGACATTCACGAATATTATTTTATTTAAAACTAGGTTATAACTTGTGGAAACCACGGTCAATATATTTAAAATTTCTATATAAATAAAAAAATAATAAATGTAAAAAAAACCAAGATATTGTGGATTGTAAGTAATTATGAACTAATAATTTGTTAAACAAAATAAACATAATAATGTTATTAGGATAAGATTTTGTATTTTCAAATTTTGAATTTAATTTGATTTGTTACCAAAAAAAAAGAAATAATAAAAATAATAGAAAAATGTCACGTGTCAAAGAGATATTCTAAAAAACTGACACGTGTCACTTTTAGGTTTGATTTATTAGAAGAAGTAGATTTAATTGCTTGAAATTTTTTGACTAATCACAAAAACATACCCACAATTTTCTAGTTGGTCAGGTTGTAAATTACGAAACTACTCCTCATATAAAACCGTTAAATATTAAATAAGTTTCCAAAATGCTGGAAAATTTCGTAATTTATAAGAATAATTTAGAAATTGTAAAAATAGTTTGGATGTTTTAATAATAGTTTCGAAATTGCAAAATTAATGATATTTTTTATTTCTGAAAAATATAGTTGCTTTGTTAAAATAACGTTTGCATGTGCTTCACTTTTAGAATAATAGGCTTAGCAACAAATATGTGGCCCGTCGTAAAACTGTACCATCAACAAGAGACCAGGCACAGGTTAATGGCGGAATTTTTCTTGATAAAACGGTGATGAATTTCGGACAGCTTACCAACAGATTGTAGATTGTGTCTAAATTTTGTTTATATTTGGTTTTTTCTTTTTACACCATATAACATCAAATTTATTGAAATTGTTTACATTTTATCCTTATAATCGGCTGCTACAGGTTATAAGGGGTAAAATATAAACAGTTTAAACAAGTTAGATGGTATTCTGTGTAAAAAAAATACTAAATATGAGCACAATTAAAAGTTTTTTTTTAAGAACCAATATTTGTATGATAACTTGAAACTTTTTTTTCCAGTCAAATTTTTTAAAAACTAACACCACCACACTATCATTAGATAAATTTATTTTATATAAATGTGAGAAAAATGAAAGATCCGCCCTCATTTTAATAATTTAAGTTTTTCTTTTTTAATTATTTTTTATAAAAAAAAATATTAATTAGATAAAATTATTACAAAATTTAATCACTTAACGAAATAAATACAACTTCAATTTGTGATTTGATATACATTCATTTGAAATTATGTTAATTTTGTCTAAGTGATTCAATGTGGAATAGTTTAATATATCTATATCGAAAATGATTATAGAAAAAAAAATATGTAAAATATTAAAATAAGGGTGGATCTTTCACTTCATAAAAGGAATTCAAGTGTTAAAAAATTTAAATATAAAATAAGAATGATGTAAAGAAAGACAAAGAAGAAGAAAAAAAATAGTTTTCCTGATTTAAATGGGAGGCCCAAGTATCCTCTCTGATAAATGAAAGTTTTTTTTGTCATACGTCAATCTCTAATGAGTTTTAACACTTGTCATTTTGTGATATTTTTTTAAATAAATAATATTCAGATGTCAATTAATGGTTTTTTTCAATTTTTAAAATTAAAAAACCATATAATCTTATACTTATCTATGTAAAGTATCAAATGTAATAAATATTATAATAAATTGCAATTAATATGTTTCTTCATTCCTTATTTCAAAATTTTATTTTAAAAAATATTTATTATTTATATTTTAATATTTTATTTTTTTTAATCAACCTGTGTAATATACGAGTTTTACACCTAGTAGATTTAAATAAAGGTAAACCTAGTAATACACATAAATTTGTATGGATGGATTAAAAGTTGATGTGGAAAATCACTCCCCTTAATAAATGTTACAAATATAACTAATAATAGAAAACTTGTCTTATAAATGGAGAAAGTGTATGTAGTTTCGAGTCCTAATATCACAGCAAGGTTCTCCATTTTGAAGTTGAATAGTTGATTATCAAGTTTATTTCGGATCTGCATGTTGTTCTTATAATGGTTGGCTGAAAAGAACTTTTCTATTGTAGCAAGAAACAATCGAGGCCAAGAAGATAATTCTACACGAGGACTGGGTTGTTAAAAAGATGCAAATAGACTCAATGGTTTCAGTGTAAATTAATTGAGTAGCTAAAGGTTTGTTAATTGTGTCAAATTTTCATATATGTATTAGTAATTGTTTTTTAAATCTACTTACGGCTTCCAGGAATAAAATGAATAATTAAAGTACAACCTAAATCAGCGATATGGTGAGTTGTTTGTTTTCTGGTCCGTGACTTGCAGAACATCAATATCCCTTCTAAGTGTGGGTTTTAAAACCTATATGATGATATGTCCATGAGCTAGCAACTTTTTTGTTTTGTTAGGATTTGAGACAAGTTTTCTTCTATTGTGGTATTCACGTGTGAAAACTGGCAGCTCCTAAGCCTCTCTATAACATCAATCTTTATCATCATTGAGGTTTTCAGGCTTAAGACTGAGAGAAGATTTTTCTTTATTTGAATTCAATAAATTGTAACGTAAGAGATCGATCGTGTCATCTTTTTCGATATTATCAATAAAGGAAAGATTAACATGATTTTTCACCTGATACGCTTACGCATCGTCCCATTCTGACTTGAGGTCATTAGCAGTGTGAGGAGAATCAGCATTAAGGATCCCAACGTTGTCATGTGAAGTGTTAGCATGAGATTCAACAAGTGGGCCATGAGACACTTAACTTCATCGTCTGAAGAGTTTCCATTTTCAAAAGCAGATGATAGAGTGGTCATCATCTCTTGAGCAGTTGAGCAGTTTTGGACCAAACGGTAGACAGAAAAAGGAAGTGAGTTTTTAATAGCAATTATATCCTTTACATCGAGATTCAGCATCCTTTTCTCTTCCTTTTTATAACAGGGAACAAATTTCCCTTTCATCTTACTGCCAGATGTACCATTACTGGATGATTGATGCATAGCAGCTATAGGACCTTTGTTGATGACGTCCAAAATA